TATTTTGTGAATGTGAATGTGTGTGCGTATATATATATATATATATATATATATATATATATATTATATATATATATATACATATATATATATTATATATATATATATAATATATATATATATATATATATAATATATATATATATATATATATATATAAATTATATATATTATATATATATATATATATATATATATATATATATATATATATATAAGTATATATGCATATACATGTGTATGTGTATATGTATATATCTAAATGTATTTGTATATATGCGTGTGCTTCTCTATATATAATTCTATATACATACACACATATGTATATAATTATATATATACATACGCCTATACATACATACATCTATATATATGTATATATGTTTATACATAGACACACACATATACATATACTTAATATATACACACATACATACATTATATGTACATATATAAATGTGTGTTGTATATGTGTGTCCATAGGTGTGTCTCCTTGTATATGTGCATATTTGTGTGTACATATGTGTATATGCGTGTGTGTGAGAGAGTGTTTGTGTGAGTGTCTGCGCGCGAGCCATAATCATATCATGATATTGTTGGTGAATCCATGCGTATTACGACACGTAGAAACAACGAAGAAAATAAATATAAACTGATAAGGTACTTTTTTCTTTAGGTGAAAGGGAAATCGTATTTCTTTATGAAAAGATGACAACACGATTTTGTTTATTCATAAATCTTATCAAACTTATGCTTCAGTGAACAGCCTTCTTTGGAAATCCGTTCCTCTTGGCTTTTCTATGTCTATACAAGCACGTGTCTGGCGGCCGCTGGTCTCAGGGTCACGCATCACACTCACTATAAAGGTAATGGGGAGCCGTCACTCCGACATCACAACCTCCTCATCTCCACCGCGTCAACATGTTCAACAAGGTGCTCTTCCGTCGAAGGATCAAAGCGTCTATCAAGTCGAATGGACTGTGAATTGTGATTTTCATAATGTGAAGTAGCAGTATACTAGAAAACGATGTTTTTCTTCCACTGTGGTGCTTGGTAACAAACTTATTTCCTTCCGACAGGGTGTCTTGGTGCTAGCTTTGGTGGGCGTGGCTCTGGCCGCCCCTTCGGATCCATACCACCAGCCTTCCTACAAGGAGGTAGGTCGTCAATATATATTGAATGAAAAGGTGTTTTCCTACTGTCGATTTTAGTTCCTATATGAATTAACCATTAACATAATCCCGAAAGGAGCCGAAGCCGTACCAGTTCGCCTACGGAGTCAAGGATGAATACGCCGGCACCGACTTCGGTCAGAGCGAGGAGTCCGACGGCAAAGCCGTCAAGGGATCCTACACTGTCCAGCTTCCCGACGGCCGCAAGCAGACGGTGAGTGTGGCAGCTGCTCTCGCTATATACTATTTTAATGATGGACGATTGGCATATTTTCCTCGATTTGCTAACGATACCATATATCTCTTCTGCAGGTGAACTACGTGGCTGACCACTACAACGGCTACCAGGCTGAGGTCAGCTACTACGGTGAGGCTCAGTACCCCACGAGTACGGTCCCCCATCACCTTCAAGCCCCAGGCCTACCACCCCCAGCCTTCCTACAAGCCACAGCCTTCATACCATTAAATTCCATTACTATGTCAAATAACTTAAGTCATTGTAGTTTTGAACATAATATAAACGATATATTAAAAATATAAAAAAAAGTACGGTTTATCAAATACCTAAACACATTTGCCCCCCCAAAAAAAAAAAAAAAAAAATCAAACGCATGAATTATATAAACAATCGATTTACAAAACCCAATATCACAATAAAAATACTCTCCCAAGATAAATGGAGCAGTTGATGTGACAACAAAGCATTGTGCCCAGTGCCCAATATTCCTTCTTTTTAAATATCGTTACTGTATACACCATGGCTGATTCCTAAGAATATGTTCCATCTACAATAAGCGGTGGATGGTATTCATAAGATATTTACTTCTCTGGTGGTTAAGTTGACCGAGGAACAAACACGCATAATGCCATCGTGATCAGAGGTTTGGTAACAAGACCATAGTCTACACCAGTGTTGTCCAAACACTTTCGCTTATTGTAACCTTTATTACCTTTTTGTACTGTTACGCCCCCCCCCCCAGTCCACCATGGCTAAACAAATGGTTTCATTTAGGCTAATGCGGATCATATACTAATTATGAGAAGACTGCATTGCAGGAGTGTTGGTCAATAAATTGGAATTTAATTCACGAATAAAAAATAATAATTTCATAACAAAATGTTTGAAAAAAAACTTACACAACTTAATGTGAGGTGTGTGTGTGTTCCTTGTTTGTTCAAGTACCCTTATAGCTGTGTACCCCCAGGGGTACGCAGACCCCAGTTTAGACAACACTGGTCTACACCATTATGTAATATCTGAGTCCTCAAAACCCCCGCGAATTGTCGAGATGACATTAACATTCATACGGGTATACATACGTATTTCGTGGGTTTTGCCTACTAAAAAGGCATCGAATTTGACCACTATGTATAATTTTTTTTTCAATATTTTATCGTCTGCCTCAGTTCGGCTCACACGCACGCACGTATGCATAGCCAAAACGCGCTCACACATACAAATAAACACAAGCACACGTGAGCGATCGTGTGTATAATATATGCATATATATATATATATATATATATATATATATATATATATATAATATATATGTATATATATATATATTTGTTTAAATATATATTATATATATATATACATATATATTTACATATAAACATATACTTATACATATATGCATATATTATATATATATATATATATATATATATATATATATATATATATATATATAAGTATATTTTAAATGGATTTGTCGTTTACCTCAGTTCGGCTCACACGTACGCACGCACAGTTGTATAGTCAAAACGCGCACACACACACTAATAAACAAACATGTACAAGCGTGTGTGTGTTTATGAGTATGTATATGTATGTATATATATATATATATATATATATATATATATATATATATACATATACATATAAATACGTATATGTATATATACACATATATATGTATATGTATATATATATACACATAATATACGTATATATATATATACATATATATAATATATGTATATATATATATATATATATATATATATATATATATATATATATATATATATGTATATATGTATATATGTAAATATGCATATGCTATGCATATATATATATATATATATATATATATATATATATACATACGTATATATGTATATTTATGCGTATATGCATATCAAAACTTATGCTTCAGTAAACAGCCTTGGAAATATCTCCTTTCCCAGATTAAGTCGAAATTCGTTCCTCTTGGATTTTCTATGTCTATACAAGCACGTGTCTGGCGGCCGCTGGTCTCAGGGTCACGCATCACACTCACTATAAAGGTAATGGGGAGCCGTCACTCCGACATCACAACCTCCTCATCTCCACCGCGTCAACATGTTCAACAAGGTGCTCTTCCGTCGAAGGATCAAAGCGTCTATCAAGTCGAATGGACTGTGAATTGTGATTTTCATAATGTGAAGTAGCAGTATACTAGAAAACGATGTTTTTCTTCCACTGTGGTGCTTGGTAACAAACTTATTTCCTTCCGACAGGGTGTCTTGGTGCTAGCTTTGGTGGGCGTGGCTCTGGCCGCCCCTTCGGATCCATACCACCAGCCTTCCTACAAGGAGGTAGGTCAATATATATATTGAATGAAAAGGTGTTTTCCTACTGTCGATTTTAGTTCCTATATGAATTAACCATTAACATAATCCCGAAAGGAGCCGAAGCCGTACCAGTTCGCCTACGGAGTCAAGGATGAATACGCCGGCACCGACTTCGGTCAGAGCGAGGAGTCCGACGGCAAAGCCGTCAAGGGATCCTACACTGTCCAGCTTCCCGACGGCCGCAAGCAGACGGTGAGTGTGGCAGCTGCTCTCGCTATATACTATTTTAATGATGAACGATTGGCATATTTTTCTCAATCTGCTAACGATACCATATATCACTTCTGCAGGTGAACTACGTGGCTGACCACTACAACGGCTACCAGGCTGAGGTCAGCTACTACGGTGAGGCTCAGTACCCCCACGAGTACGGTCCCCCCATCACCTTCAAGCCCCAGGCCTACCACCCCCAGCCTTCCTACAAGCCACAGCCTTCATACCATTAAAAATCCATTATTATGTCAAATAACTTAAGTCATTGTAGTTTTGAACATAATATAAACGATATATTAAAAATATATAAAAAAAGTACGGTTTATCAAATACCTAAACATATTTGCCCCCCCCCCCCAAAAAAAAAAAAAAAAATCAAACGTATGAACTATATAAACATTCGATTTACAAAACCCAATATCACAATAAAAATACTCTCCCAAGATAAATGGAGCAGTTGATGTGACAACAAAGCATTGTGCCCAGTGCCCAATATTCCTTCTTTTTAAATATCGTTACTGTATACACCATGGCTGATTCCTAAGAATATGTTCCATCTACAATAAGCGGTGGATGGTATTCATAAGATATTTACTTCTCTGGCGGTTAAGTTGACCGAGGAACAAACACGCATAATGCCATCGTGATCAGAGGTTTGGTAACAAGACCATAGTCTACACCAGTGTTGTCCAAACACTTTAGCGTATTTTAACCTTTATTACCTTTTTGTACTGTTACGTCCCCCCCCCAGTCCACCATGGCTAAACAAATGGTTTCATTTAGGCTAATGCAGATCATATACTAATTATGAGAAGACTGCATTGCAGGAGTGTTGGTCAATAAATTGGAATTTAATACACGAATAAAAAAAGATAATTTCATAACAAAATGTTTGAAAGATACTTACACAACTTAATGTGAGGTGTGTGTTCCTTGTTTGTTCAAGTACCCTTATAGCTGTGTACCCCCAGGGGTGCGCGAACCCCAGTTTAGACAACACTGGTCTACACCATTATGTAATATCTGAGTCCTCAAAACCGCCGCGAATTGTCGAGATGACATTAACATTCATACGGGGTGTACTAACCTATTTCGTGGACATTGCCTACTAAAAAGGCATCGAATTTGACCACTATGTATAATTTTTTTTTTCAATATTTTATCGTCTGCCTCTGTTCGGCTCACACGCACGCACGTATGCATAGCCAAAACGCGCTCACACATGCAAATAAACACAAGCACACGTGAGCGAGCGTGTGTGTGTATAATATATACATACATATATATATATATATATATATATATACATATTTGTTTAAATATATATTCATATATATATAAAAATACATATATATTTACATATAAACATATACTTATACATATATGCATATACATACACATATAATATATATACATACATATATATATATACATATATATATATATATATATATATATATATATATATATATAAGCGTTTACCTCAGTTCGCTCACACGTACGCACGCACAGCTGTATATCAAAACACACACACTAATAACCAAACACATGTATGTGTGTGTTTATGAGTATGTATATATATATACATATATATATATCATATATATATATATGTATATATACATATATATATATGTATATATACACATATATACGTATATGTATATATATACCGTATATGTATATACATATATACCATATTATATATATATATATATATATATATATATATATATATATATATAATATATATATACATATATATATATATATATATATATATATATATATATATATATATATACGTTTACCTCAGTTACACGTATGTATAGTCATAATAACAAACACATACATATCATACATATACATATAATGTATATGTATAATACACATAATATACGTATATGTATATATGTATATGTATATATATACATATATATATATATGTATATGTCATATGCTATGCATATATATATATACCATATATATACGCATATGCATATCAAACTTATGCATCAGTAAACAGCATTGGAAATATCTCCTTTCCAGATTAAGTCGAAATTCGTTCCTCTTGGATTTTCTATGTCTATACAAGCACGTGTCTGGCGGCCGCTGTCTCAGGGTCACGCATCACACTCACTATAAAGGTAATGGGGAGCCGTCACTCCGACATCACAACCTCCTCATCTCCACCGCGTCAACATGTTCAACAAGGTGCTCTTCCGTCGAAGGATCAAAGCGTCTATCAAGTCGAATGGACTGTGAATTGTGATTTTCATAATGTGAATAGCAGTATACTAGAAAACGATGTTTTTCTTCCACTGTGGTGCTTGGTAACAAACTTATTTCCTTCCGACAGGGTGTCTTGGTGCTAGCTTTGGTGGGCGTGGCTCTGGCCGCCCCTTCGGATCCATACCACCAGCCTTCCTACAAGGAGGTACGTCGTCAATATATATTGAATGAAAAGGTGTTTTCCTACTGTCGATTTTAGTTCCTATATGAATTAACCATTAACATAATCCCGAAAGGAGCCGAAGCCGTACCAGTTCGCCTACGGAGTCAAGGATGAATACGCCGGCACCGACTTCGGTCAGAGCGAGGAGTCCGACGGCAAAGCCGTCAAGGGATCCTACACTGTCCAGCTTCCCGACGGCCGCAAGCAGACGGTGAGTGTGGCAGCTGCTCTCGCTATATACTATTTTAATGATGAACGATTGGCATATTTTCCTCGATTGCTAACGATACCATATATCTCTTCTGCAGGTGAACTACGTGGCTGACCACTACAACGGCTACCAGGCTGAGGTCAGCTACTACGGCGAGGCTCAGTACCCCCACGAGTACGGTCCCCCATCACCTTCAAGCCCCAGGCCTACCACCCCAGCCTTCCTACAAGCCACAGCCTTCATACCATTAAAAATCCATTACCATGTCAAATAACTTAAGTCATTGAAGTTTTGAACATAATATAAACGATATATTAAAAATATATAAAAAAGTACGGTTTATCAAATACCTAAACACATTTGCCCCCCCCAAAAAAAAAAAAAAAAAATCAAACGCATGAATTATATAAACAATCGATTTACAAAACCCAATATCACAATAAAAATACACTCCCAAGATAAATGGAGCAGTTGATGTGACAACAAAGCATTGTGCCCAGTGCCCAATATTCCTTCTTTTTAAATATCGTTACTGTATACACCATGGCTGATTCCTAAGAATATGTTCCATCTACAATAAGCGGTGGATGGTATTCATAAGATATTTACTTCTCTGGTGGTTATGTTGACCGAGGAACAAACACGCATAATGCCATCGTGATCAGAGGTTTGGTAACAAGACTATAGTCTACACCAGTGTTGTCCAAACACTTTCGCTATTTTAACCTTTATTACCTTTTTTGTACTGTTACGTACCCCCCCCCCCCAGTACACCATGGCTAAACAATGGTTTCATTTAGGCTAATGCAGATCATATACTAATTATGAGAAAACTGCATTGCAGGAGTGTTGGTCAATAAATTGGAATTTAATACACGGATAAAAAAAGATTTCATAACAAAATGATTGTAAAATACATAACTTAATGTGAGGTGTGTGTGTTCCTTGTTTGTTCAAGTACCCTTATAGCTGTGTACCCCCAGGGGTACGCAGACCCCAGATTAGACAACACTGGTCTACACCATTATGTAATATCTGAGTCCTTAAAACCCTCGCGAATTGTCGAGATGACATTAACATTCATACGGGGTATACAAACGTATTTCGTGGGCATTGCCTACTAAAAAGGCATCGAATTTGACCACTATTATAATTTTTTTCAATGGTTTTTATCGTCTGCCTCAGTTCGGATCACACGCACGCACGTATGCATAGCCAAAACGCGCTCACACATACAAATAAACACAAGCACACGTGCGCGAGCGTGTGCGTGCGTGTGTGTGTATAATATATATATATATATATATATTAATATAGTATATATAAATATATTTCTATATATAAATGTATATTTGTATATATAAATATATATTTGTATATATAAATATATATCCATATATATAAATACAAATATATTTACATATAAACATTTATTTATACATATATGCATATACATACATTCACCCACATA